ATTCCATTGCTATACTGCATTGTTGAGTAGAATAATATATATGTTCGCTAAATTATGATAAATAACAGCTAAATCAGGATGATTTTTTGGTAGTTTCTTTTTACGTATTTCTAGTGCTTTTTGAAAATATGTCAATGCCGTTGAATAATTATTCATTTGTCGATATGTTTCACCTAAACTGACATATGTCATTGCACGTTGTAGAGGGTTACACTGAACATTTTCTTGAATATTCAATGCTTTTCGATGAAATAAAAGTGCCTTTTCATAATCACCCAATAATCGATGAACATCACCAATATTACTGTATGTTATACCAAAATCCGGATGTCTTTCAAGCAATGTTTTTTGGTCTATTGCGAGACACTTTTCAAAATACTTAAGTGCCCTTGAATACTCTTTCATACCGCGATAAACTTTTCCGAACCAACTATACGTTGAAGAAAAAGCTTGATTGCCTTCTTGAAATGCATTTTGCTGGATTTTAAAAGCACTTTGAAGAGCCTTAAGAGCTGCTGTGTAATCACCCATTCGTTCGTAACACGCTGCGAAACTCAAGTGACTTCCAGCCAATGATGGATGATTCGGAGGGAAAGCTTTTTCGTACATTAGATGTGATTTTTCATAAAATTCAAGTGCTTTCGAGTAGTCACCCATGTTGTTGTGTACTAGGCCGATATTATTGTAGGAAGTAGCCAATGAGGGATGGTTCGGAGACAGAGCTTTTTCGTTGATTTCCAGTGCTTTTTCAAAAAATTCAAGTGCTTTTCCGTGATCACCCATGCTGAGATTCACTCGACCTATGTTGTTGTAAGAACTAGCCAAATCTGGATGATTCGGAGACAGAGCTTTTTCGTAGATTTTGTGTGCTTTTTCGTAAAATTCAAGTGCTTTCGAGTAACCACCCATGTTAGTAAACATTTGACCGATTGTGCTATAGGAAGTAGCTAAATCGGGATGATTTGGAGGCAGAGCTTTTTCGTAGATTTGATTTGCTTTTTCGTAATATTCAAGTGCTTTTGCATAGTCACCCATGCCATTATACACTCCACCGATGCTGTTATGGGAAGCACCCATATCGGGATGATTTGAAGGCAGAGTTTTCCCGTAGATTTGATGTGCTTTTTCGTAAAATTCAAGTGCTTTGGCATAGTAACCCGTGGTGTTATACGTTGCACCGATCCAAGCGTAGGTTTGAGCCAAATCGGGATGACTCGGAGGCAGAGCTGTTTCTCTTATTTCAAGTGCTTTTTCGAAATTTTGAAGTGCTTCCGAATAGTTACCCATAATATGATGCACTCCACCGATATTATTGTAGATTTCAGCCAATGTTGGATGATCTTTCGATAGAGTTTTACAATAGTTTTTGAGAGCGGTTTTGTAAAATGAAATTGCTTCGCTGTATTGCCCTTGATAAGCTTTCGTGTCTCCAAGCATATTATAGATACGTGCTGCATCGCTGTCGTCTGATGTCTGTTCTAGTAGTGAGAGGTACAATTCTTCGGCCTTGCTGAATTGACCTATTTTTAGCAGCAGTTTGCCCATTCGATACCATCCGCTGCCGTCGACCTCTTGCCGTATACGATCGGTTAATTGACTTAGTTGTTTATCGTCATCAGATGTAAGTTTAAGGTCCACTTGATAAATTGGACGATTATTGTCAAGTTTGTGAATGTCACCAATTCGAAAAACAGTGTGCATGGAAAAGAGAATTTCCTCTTCGTTCTGGAAATAACTTTCTTCTCGAATGGAGGCAAATGGAATTGATGAGACACTGGAATCGATGGTTATTTGAAAAAGAATGCTGACCATATCTGCTGTTTCTAAAGATCGTTTAGCGAAATTGAGGGAAACATTTCGAGTTGTACTGGTGGATAAAAAGTTATTAAAGGAAATAAGCCCACCTTTGTTTTTCGTGAGCTTTTCGAAGTCCTCTGTCGATAGACCTTGCCCTCGAAAGACTGTAAAGGTGTTTCCATGATATTGATGGACCTGATTCTTGTACAATATTTCAATTTGTCGGTGTAAATCACACAGGAAGAAACCTATTCGAATCATTATATCGCCGTTGAGTGTTCGCAATGCTCCATTGAGCATTTTGTACGTAAAACATTGACGCGTATACCACCAAATGGCTTTTGATGCTTGATAACTATGTTTAAATTCATCGATAATTTTCATTTCATTATCATTTTCGCCGTATACTTCTTGGCAAAATGTAACTAAGTCTTTGGTGGCCTGTTCGTCATGTTTGATTTCAAGGAGAATTTCCGTGAAGATCTGTGAATACATGAATGTCGGCTCTAGCTGATCGAGATTTTCACTAGAACTTCCTTCATTCTCACCAACAATACTGACTGTTATATTGTCTTCATTATATTGCTTGATAGCCGTGGTCAGTTTTTCACAAATGTGTTTGATAGTCGTATGGACACCCTTGACTTTTCCCCAATTTTGGGCCCATACTTGATGCTGTTGTTTGTTTCGACAAAATATATATACTGATTTTAATTTTTGCATCTCATGAATATTTGGCACTAAATGCTGTCCAAGTGTACCCGAAGAGATAACAAATAATATCTCGTCAGGATTTTCATTCAGCTGTTGAATACATTGTTCAACCGTTGTACATAGATTGACTTGATTTACAACACCTCGCAATTGTACAAGTGTATTTTGACAGTCTTCATTGGTCATATCAATATTTCCATCAACCCATATAACCAAATAATTTTCAACCATGCCTCGTCTTCGTTGTTGACTCATTTTCGATGGAATATTTGCTGTTGGATGGATAATCGTGTATTGTGAATAATAAATTGCTGTTTAAACAGAGTTTACTTTTTGTATTTATACATTCGATGTACGGTAGTTTTTTCTAAATTTTTTTATGACGTCAAATATGAGTATTTGTTTTTTTCCTTGACACTCAATAATAAACTATGCGGAGTAATAATTGATGGTATGCTTGTCAAAAACAAATTAAAGGGAAAAGAACCAACAATGTCATTAATCGTATGATAATTTTTTCTTCACTTTCATCCACGTTTCATGTAAAGGGTGACTCAAGCTTTATTGCACTAAATACCTTGTCTCATACGGTTATGTTCCTTTGATTCTTTGCAAACAACTTTTTTTTCCTCTTTCTAACAAGAACGAAAACGACCACAAGGACAGTGTCAGTATGATTGTTTTTTCTCATTGTGCATATGACTCACATGCTGATAATGTGAACGAAACAAGAAAAAATATAATTTCACTTTCAATTGAGGCAATAATCGAAGCGGCTTGTACTTGCCAAATATATTGTTAATTATTAATCAATGATCGAAGTAATGGTGATTTTCTTAATCGAAGTAATGGTGATTTTCTTAATCGAAGTTTGAAAATAATGAAAGATCGAAGTACTTATCATGCATTAAAAGAAATGAGTGAAACACTTTAATGAAGACTTTACACATTTGTATAGCGAACAAGCAAAAGTTTCGTATCAGTTATCATCCAAATTTCATCTAGAAACGCACACAAATTTTAATCGTGTCATGTATAGAATGAATATATCATCACCCACAATCTTGCTAGAGTAATTTTTGATTGGTATTCATACGAAATATGTGTATAATAAAAAGAAATTTTATTTTCTTGTGTTATATTAACTGCTTTTTTTATCAATTTTTATGATTCATATAGAAATCATATTGAAATTTTCTTTATTCATATTTAAAACTCATAAAACTTACACTTGTGTCAAAAGGACAATGAAAAAAACTCCTTTTATGTACAAACATGCATTTATTGATAATTATTTTTTGCTTGTATGCATGTAAAAGAGAATCATACATGTTTACATATGATTGGCAAATATTAAGAAGAATCACTCATAGGTTTTCACCTAATACGGATGAAGATATGGAAGACAGGAATCTTTCTTTCTTAATTAAAAGTAAAAAAAATGATAATTGCATTACATGCTTAATGTCTTTGTTCAAATACAGAAGGGTGATATCATCAATACTTAACTTGATCATTATATTTTTTTTTTAATTTACATAAATTTGTATTACAAATACATAACAAAAATGTTCTCGAAAACCATCAGTATACAATTTCTTTTAAAAAGTAAAACGTTTTCTCTAGCAAATGAAAAAATAAGAATAATTGTTAACTCATGAAAAACTGTTCTCTAATAAAAATCATGTGTTAGTCTGAAAGAATATTATTATAATTTCAATTTAAAGAGAAAAATCAAAAATATTGATGAGAAAATGATATTAAAAGCACTTGTTAATCTCCTGATGGAAATGAAGTTTGGTTATCTATTTGATGAATAAAAAGTTTCATTTTACAAGAATGTTTTTGCAGTTATGTTGAAAAATAGTTTTTGTTTTTTGCATGATATCAAAATCTTTTCATATGAGTGTGTTTTTCATTGAATTAAGGTTTTCTATAATCGTTGGTCTCCTTTTTAATGAAATAAACATGGCGACAGTTCAATCATTTTCAAATCAACAACAACATTTGTCAATGACATATAGTTTTGTATTCAATTTTCATAATCCCTTCGAGTATAATTTTTCTGCAACTATTTATCAAGAATAAACTTTATAGTGAAAATGAAACGTTTGGTGTATTTTTTTGGATACCAATAAATGCGAACGGCGTTTCTAAGAGTGCTGAATGATAGTATCAATATAATGACTCAGATGGTCCCGTTTTATTTTCAAATCCTCACCCTACGTTCTATACACATCTTTCATTTATTTCCCTTGTCCATAGAGCCCATTGGGTTCAAAAGTTTTGGACCCTAACTTAATCCTTATTCATAATATCCTAAATAATTTTGTTTGATCTATCTTGATAGTTGCTCCGAAGATACGAGATATCTTCGCTTATCTATATTCATCAACTAGCACATCCTACACATTTCTCATGAACATCTTTACAGTAATCATACAAGAATGTGGACATAAATGAACATTACTTTTAGAGTAACAATTGTGGGTGGTATATAGATCTGAAGAATGTAATTTTGCAGGTAAATACTTGTATGCTTCTTCATTAAGAAAAAAGAATGTTTAGCTAATTACTCAATAGATAAAATAATCACTTCAATAAATCTTTCACTATTGCCAAAAAATGATTATCTAATTTTTCTTTATCATGACAGGTCGTTGAATGATTGGTGGCAATAAATCATTTCAGGAGATGTGCGACGAATCCTACGAAGCATTGAAAATAGACGAAATGGAAATGATTCTTGATTTGAATCATGAAGGAAAAAATTTTGATGAGCTAAAGAAAACTATTAATGAGTAAAATATTTTCATTTATCTCAAAAAAAAAAGAATTGATGATCACCGTTAAATAAATAAAATCATTTCAAGAATTCGAGAAAACTTATGAAACTTTTAGTTTATGATAAAATTATGTTTAAAATGGCAGATTAACAGTCGAAAGTATAAGTGAAATAGTTTTTTTCATAACTTGATTAATAACATTTTCCATTCTTAACTCTTATCTTTACATAACCTCCTTCAGCATTACAGATAGATTAATATAAGGAGAAAAAATTTTTCACACTAAACTATTACTTTATTGAAAAAAGTTAATTCTGTTCTCTTGACAAAATAGAAAAGTTTATATTTATTGTAAATTATTTTAATACATGAAAGAAATCATATTTTAAAACAGATTTAAACTCTTTCCTCTAAAATAATCAATAGTCATTAGTTTGTACTACTTTTTTGTCGAACATCAAAGATTTAATTTATCTTTTGTTCAGAGTTTCATGTAATTAACTTTTTTTTGTCATCTTCAAGGACATATTAGAATTTGAAGTTTGTTGTTGTTATTATAGAAAAAAAAGAGGTCTTTGATTTTTCATCAAATTTTCTTGAAATTGTATTCGATTAAAAATGAGTCTATATTATCATCATCAAAATATTTAATGTATACATATCAATCGTCGAGAAGTAAAGATTTAGTAAGAATCTTCATCATGTTGACAAAAATAGATATTTTTTTTTCTATTGATTATAGATGAGACAACTATTGAATTTAGTACTGGAATTAAGTTTTAGATTAGTTGTTTTATTTAAATTAAATATTGACTAAACAATTCAGATGTAGTAGATAAATAAACCCTTATAATATGCAATCTAACACGATACGACATAAATTTCACATAGAGACTAATGTCTTTTTTCAAGTACTTGTAGCGTATTTCGAGAGTTAAGAGAACAAGTGAAAAGCAGCTCTTTTTAAAAATATTGATATGAAAAAATTATTTAGCTAAAGACTAACAAAAGAGAAAATATTTTAATCAGATATTTTCGATTTCTTCTACAACATATTTATGGTGTCATCAATGTACTCATTGATCAAGACAATGTTACGGTTTATTCCTTTTTTATTTTTTTTTTAGTATTCGAAACAGTAATATTCATGGAAAATTTTGATCAAGAAAATATGCAATACATAACCAAACAGTGAAACAAGTAAATTTGTGAATAATTACAATGTCAAATAGATGTTTTGAACATTTATGTCATGTTATATTTCGATTTTAATAAATAACTATCATCATGCAGTAGAGTTCAGAAAAAATCTATTATAAATTGGTGATCAATCAAAAACAACAGCATATGAGTGTGGGTATTGTGAACAGTTGAGCAGCACTCACACCCATACTCGAAATTGATGTTTCCTGCTTCTCAATTTGTACTAAACGGTCAAAGAGATATCCCAACGACTGATGAATAATTTCTTGAGTGTCTATACGAAAACAGCGACATGTGAGATATACAACAATGAAGAGGAGAGTGGGAAAGATAATTACTATGTTTTGTTATAGGGCATCAGCGAGATATTATGCTTGTTGGTCTTTAATTTTAATTTCATCGAAGATTTAGTATAGTCAGTGTCTATATGAGACAGAGGATATGAGTAAAAAGAACGAAAACGAGCTAGAGTAGGATAGTAACCTTGTTGTATTGTAGAGCATTAGCAAGATGTTGTGCTCTTTGACTCCCGATTTCATTCAATGAAAGAACGAGTCTTGTAAATGTCTACATGCGAATGTCGAAACGAGAGCCACAGATGAAGATCAGAGAGGCAGAGCATGAGAAACACCTGTTGTGTCGTAGTGCATTAGCAAGATATTCTTGAACACCTTTGTGTCGGAGTCGATTGTTTGAAAGATCGAGTCCGGTTAGCGTCTCTGTGAAGGAGAGGAATGTTGAGAAAGATAGATGAAAATTTTGTTAATACGGTATCACAAAGATGAAGGAGTAGATGTTTAGTATTTTATGTATCATTGAGGTTCCTTTTTGTCAAACAAAAAAATCGTTTTATGTATATCAAAAAGGTATCTCATTAACAACTGTGCACAGAGTATGTTGGCTAGGTACCCAAGTTTTGGATTCCGTACCAGTGAATAGTGTAGAAGCCGAATCGACTTTTTGATAATTCAGAACTGTTTCAGCCTGCTAACAACTGGCTTGGAATGGGAACACAATTCTAATGCATCAGAATCTCAAGTAATAGCATCTGGTGAGGTTCTGAAATATGCTCAGTCTCGACCATGCCTTTTTCTCACTATTACAGCAACTCGTGCGGTCCCGAGACACTTTGAAGTTCGGATGAAAACTTCCATTGTCGAAAAATTGAATTTGTTTTTGAAAAGATTTTGACCCAGAAAACGATTCAAGGTATGAGTTTGTGGATGGACGTAAGTGTGGGTGTGGGTGGAGGCGTGAGATGGGGTG